GGTGTCTAGCAAATGTGACACCCATCCACAAGAAGGGCCGGCAGGATGATCCGGGGAACTCCAGGCCTGTGAGTCTGACCTCGGTGCCTGGGAAGGCCATGGAACAGACCATCCTGAGGGCCATTATGAGGCACAGGAAGGTTACCCAGGTGACCAGGCCCAGCCAGCACGGGTTCAGGAGGGGCAGATCCTGCTGGACAAACCTCATCTCCTTCGATGACAAAGTGACCCTCTCAGTGGGTGAGGGAAAGGCTGTGGCTGTTGTTTACCTGGACTTTAGCAAGGCCTTTGATAGAGTCTCCCCCAGGATCCTCCTGGAGAAAGTGGCTGCCCATGGCTTGGATGGGAGGACTCTGCGCTGGGTTAAAAACTGGCTGGAGGCCGGGCTCAGAGAGTGGTGGGGAATGGAGTCAAATCCAGTTGGCGGCCGGTCACGAGTGGTGTCCCCAGGGCTGGGGACTGGGACCCATTCTCTTGAACATCTTTATCAATGATCTGGCCGAGGGGATCGAGTGCACCCTCAGTCAGTTCACAGGCAACACCACGTTGGGTGGGAGTGTCGACCTGCTGGAGGGCAGAGAGGCTTTGCAGAGGGATCTGGACAGGCTGGATGGATGGGCCGAGGCCAATGGGATGAGGTTCAAGAAGGCCAAGTGCCGGGTCCTGCCCTTAGGACCTGGGAGTGTTGGTTAACTGTCAGGCTGACCTATTGAAGATCCAAGTAACCTGGTGATTGCTCTGAGATCATTAAGTTAGAAGTCTTGCCCTTGCTTTTGTCTTAACATACCCAAATCAGCACTGAGCATAGAGAGGAAAAGAGTATCTGTGTGGCTGCGAAGAAAAAATGCCAGTGCTGCCCAACAGAACTGTTGAAGGTGGGCAAAGGGACACCAATAGTCCAGTGTTTGGATAAACTGAGATTTTCTTCAAGCTTTATCCCTGCAGAGGACACCACCAGGTTACTCAGTAGCACACACAGGTACCCATACAATTTTGAATACAAAGATGCAGGGGATTTTGCTTTCAACTGTAAATCATAGTGTATGAAGACAGAAGTTCGGTTTGTTCCAATTAAAGCTTTAGGATGGGAGTGCTAAACTATTGTATTTTCTAGCTTTTCACTGCTGTTTTTAACGAGTATAATGGCTATGCTTACCAGGAGCTTCGCATTGGACTTGCTAATGAGAGAAAGAAAATAGATTTAGGATTGTTTTTTAGAAATCTTTGGATTAAATGTTTTTATTTTCAAGTGACTTACCTCCCTCTCTGTATGCTAACAGTAGATTCACAAAAGCCTTTCTAATTTGCCAGTGGCCTAAGTAGCCAAATTGTTTTCTGCTGCTATGCAGTTTTATTGCTCTAGGGTTTTTTCATTTGTTTTGTTGGTTTGTTGTTGGTTTTTTTTTTTTTACCAAATTTTCTGCATAACCGGATGTGCAAGAAATTTGAGGTGAAAGACCATGAAATGAAGAAGACACCTCTGAGTTTTGCCAGCTGCTATTTTTGCTGTGTAAGAGGAGCTCTGTAGCAGGGCAGATGAATAAGCCTGGGAAGGGCTGGGGAAAAGAAAGGCACTTGTGACCTTGGCATCAAACTGTCTTTCTGCAGTTCTCTAAGGAAATTATTTAGAGTAGAAAGTATGCTGCAAATAGCAATAACAGCTGCCGCAGGTACCAAGAAGATAAAGATCAGGATGGGGCTTGTTCCTTGGGATGCTGAGCACCAGCGTGGTCTGACAAGTGGTGACTTTGGGGAGGAAGAAGCATGGTTACAGCTTTTGTGCTGTAGTGTGTTGTACATACAATATGTATGTATGTACATATGTAGTATGTACATATATATGTAGCCAAGTGTAGTTGGCTTTCTAGTGGGCACCACAGTTCCTCACTTCTGTACTGAACTTAATTTTTTCAATAATTTTGTTCGCCTGTTTTCTGTTCTTCAGCGTTATCATCCTGATCTTGCATAATGCTAAATAATTACATTTATTAACAGGCAGAAATAATAAATCAGCATATACTCACTCTTGCTAGCAGAGGCTCCTCTCCTCTCCTCTCCTCTCCTCTCCTCTCCTCTCCTCTCCTCTCCCTTCCAACCCAAACTATTCTATGATTCTATGATTTTATAATGTTCCCAAAATCATGAAAACTGAGGGCTGCATTTCCAGAGCTGAGCCCATAGGGATGCAGAGAGGAGACATTTTTGGCTGTGCTTGCCCATGCACACCCCTCCCCTCCCCTCCCCTCCCCTTCCCCAAAAACAGTGAATTCACAAGATAATACATATAGTACGAGTGGAAGGCACAAGGCAGATGAAGCCAAGCCTGGGAGCTCACAGCTGCAAGCACCCATACTGATAATGGTTTGCAACAAGCCATAACTGCATCTAGGTTTCTGGTTTTGCACAAAATTGTGTGTTTCTTCGAGACGTGTCCTTTCGTATTTACTTCTGTGGTTAAAACGCAAAGGGCTGTGGCATGAATGCTGGGATGAATTTCAGCACAGCGTTTGGATTACTCCCAGAGGAGCAAACCATAAGCAAATTGTTTCTTTAAAGAATCCAGCTTCTCTTAGTTTGTATTCAATTACGGGGTTATTTTCCAGTGGGAAAGACAAGAAAGTTCAGAGCTCTCCATGCTGCTTGTCTGGCTGCTTTCCTTGACCCGCTTGTAGAAGGTGCTTTAATTCCACCCGGGCGGTCCATTTGTTGTGGTGAAGCCCATGTGCCTGAGGTGTGGGGAGTTACTGGCTCACACCCCAGCAGAAGATTTCTGTATGCAAGCCTGTAATGATCCTGAATGGATCAATGGGCCAAGGCCAATGGGATGAGGTTAATAAGGCCAAGTGCCAGGTCCTGCATTTTGGTCACAACAACCCCAGGCAACGCTACAGACTTGGGTAAGAGTGGCTGGAAAGCTGCCCGGAAGAAAAGGACCTGGGTGTTGGTGGACAGCCAGCTGAACATGAGCCAGCAGTGTGCCCAGGTGGCCAAGAAGGCCAATGGCATCCTGGCTCATATCAAGAATAGTGTGGCCAGCAGGAGTAGGGAAGTCATCGTGCCTCTGTACTGGCCACTGGTGAGGCCTCACCTCGAGTACTGTGTTCAGTTTTGGGCCCCTCACTACAGGAAAGACATTGAAGTGCTGGAGCGTGTCCAGAGGAGAGCCACCAAGCTGGGGAGGGGTCTGGAGAACAAGTCCTACGCGGAGAGGCTGAGGGAACTGGGCATGTTGAGTTTGGAGAAGAGGAGGCTGAGGGGAGACCTCATTGCCCTCTACAACTCCCTGAAAGGAGGTTGTAGAGAGGTGGGGGTTGGCCTCTTCTCCCAAAGGACGAACGACAAGACCAGAGGAAATGGTCTGAAGTTGGGGCAAGGGAGATTTAGATTAGATATTAGAAAGAACTACTTTACTGAGAGAGTGGGAGATTATACACCATTCTTCAGTCCTTGTTGTGCCTCTAATAGGCTCCCTCCTCTCCCAGTTTGCAGTAATAGGGATGGGCAGGGTGCTGCTCCTGCACCTCATCCTGCTTTCCAGACCTCCTTGTGCTCTCTCATCTCAGTAAGGGTGCTGTGCTGCTTCTCACAACACAACCTTTCCATGGTTTAGATTCCATCTGAGACGTGCAACGTCTGTAACGACAGAGGCTGGTTGGGACTCATTCACAGAATCACAGAATCTTCTAGGTTGGAAGGGACCTTAAAGATCATCTTGTCCAACCGTCAACCTAACTGACAAAAATAGACACCCACACAACAAACAAGGAGCATCATCACTAAACCATACCTCCCAGCACCACATCAACCCGTCTTTTGAACACCTCCAGGGATGGGGCCTCAACCACCTCCCTGGGCAGCCCATTCCAATGCCTGAGAACCCTTTCAGTGAAAAAATTTTTCCTAATATCCAGCCTGAACCTCCCCTGGCGCAACTTGAGGCCATTTCCTCTGGTCCTGTCGCCTGTGACTTGAGAAAAGAGACCGACCCCCACCTCTCTACACCCTCCTTTCAGGTAGTTGTAGAGAGCAATAAGGTCTCCCCTCAGCCTCCTCTTCTCCAGGCTGAACACCCCCAGCTCCCTCAGCCTCTCCTCATAAGACTTGTGCTCCAGACCCCTCACCAGCTTTGTCGCCCTTCTCTGGACCCGCTCCAGCACCTCGATGTCTTTTTTATGGTAGTCAGTCCCCTGCTCAAACAAGGGGATTCAGCCTCTCATCCTTTTTCTTACTCTTTGTTGCTGGGAGGGAAGAATTTCTCAAGCTGTTTGAAAGATGGGCTTCGATTTAATCCTTTTGAAGAGCGCTTACCTGCAACTGAGACATCAGTGTACAGACTGCATGGTAAGGCAGGAGCAACCTCCTGCCAAATGGACGTACGGTCCAGCAGCGTGAGGAGTGCAATATAACCTGTTCCAGCTCTAAAAGAATAAAAATACTGCTTCTGAAAGATCCTGAACTAGCAGGGCTTTCATCCTCACAAACCAGGGAGACGCTCCTTAATGATGTGCACCATGTCACTCTGCAGGTGGATGCACCTGTAGGCATCTTTACTGACCCATGAAGATGTAACAATATTTATCATCTGCCCGGGGGCATTTTTATCCAAAGCTGCTACTGCAAGGCCCTGCCATACATCTGTTTCTTCTTCTTCTTACCCCCGTTTGAGCTCACTTTTATTGAATCATGATGTATTACTGTTCTTTCTTGTTCACACCTAGCTTTTGTTTTCACTTTTGACTTTTTTTTTTTTTTGCTCTGCCTTATGTATTTCCTTCTACAGAAAGGGTAAGTCCACAGGTAGAGTGCCATCAGTAAAAGTAGAAGTAGATTTTTCCTGTCAGAGAAGAGGTTCCTCCAGGCTCCATCAGTAGCACAACATGCTGCTGTCCCCACCTTCTTGTGACGTAAGGATAGCTACATAATGAAGGGCAGCAGAACTGTTTAGTTGCATTCTGTTAAAAGATCACGAATAACATTTTCCCAATTTTTCACTCCTATAGGATATCGCTCTGTGACAGTGCAGCAAACTGCTGGAGTATGAAGGCGGCTCAGAAGTTCATGTAAGTGTGTATCTTCATGTGTGTCTTCACAGAGGCGAATCACAAGCGCAGCCATTAGCTCTCTAGCCCTTTTAGATGTGAGGGAATTGATACAACAGGAAACGCTGATGGAAAAGGGATGAAAAGATTGCAGGGACAGGAAGAAGATAAACATTCACAAACAAGGGTAAAAAGAAGCAGCAGGTAAATTGTCAGTGTCTGACTTCTGGGGAGCTGTGACAATTTATAACGGCAGTGAATCACCCAGCAGTCTAGAAGGAATGATAATGCATCGCTGACTTGCTGTTCCTCGTTTCTCTGGGGTTTTTGGAGGAGGTTTGCATTCAGTGAGTGTCAGGGCACAGCAGGCACTGAGGGTTTTCACTGAGGGGGGCCAGGGCATCTCACTGTTCCTCACCCCGGCAGCCACAGGGCATGTTGGTGCCCTCAGAGCACTGGCATCATGTTTTTATATGATTTTCTAGATGTTGTTTGAATTCCTGGTGGTTTTAGAGGCGTTTGCACATCTATTCTGTGTTCCAAAAGCAAACATGGCATTAGCTTCAGGTGTGGAGAGCTCTGTCTGTGGTAACTGCACGGCCAGTTTCAGAATTGCACAGGGTTTGCAAAGTGTAAGTTACTAAAACATAGCCAAAAGATATGCCATCGTATGGGCTGGTGCTGTATTGCTTGATACTCTTATGTGCAAGGTAAGACAAAGGATCTACTGTAATGCTTTTGTCTGCTCTGTCAAATATAAATTTTATCCTAGATTTTACATATTCCATAAATAAGGGGTTAATTGTATATGCAACGGTCAAATGTAAAATTATTAGCAACATGCCTGATCTGTGTCCCATACAGGCATGAAACCACAGAGGAATTATCCGAGGCCACTTTCTGCTGTAGGTCCTGGCTGTTTTGATATTAACTTAAACATTAATGTTACACTGTTATATATTGAGTAAATAGCTTTACTCCACTGTATTTTCCCTTTTTCTTGGCTTAACGTGATTTTCCAACGGATGGATGGGAAATTGTGTTTGTCCACGAGCACCAGGGAAACCAGCTGGGCTGCTGTGTGTTTTAGCTTAGGTGCAAGAAAGTGACTTCTGTCTGAAAAAAAACTAAATCACAGGGGAAGAGCACTGCTGTAAAGTTGTAAAGTCTGTTAATGCAATCTGCCAGAGAGCATAGGATTTGGTCTTGGAAAAATCCCATTGCAGTAATCCATTAATCCATAGAATTACCTGGAAGGCTTTCAATACAAGGAAGTAATTAGATGAGATCCCAATTTCTAAATTTGTATTTAACATTTATGGCTATTTCTGGTACTTTATTTTCTTTTATTCACTGCCCTCTAGAGGTCTTGCAAATGAAATTAGAATAGGAAAATGAGGTTGCAGCAGTGACTGTCTCTGCCTGGTGCCACTATGTGCTGCCTAATACAGTGTTTTAAAATAACTGCGTAGATACTGCTGCAGCTAAATGCAGCTTTCCACTCTCACTAGGAAGGGGAAAAATTCCTAAGGTGTGTGTGAAGTTTAGGTTTTAATGTAGTGAGTGGCAGTGCAAAAGGAACTGTATGGCATTCCTTTATTCCGCTTTATTACAGGTGATAAGACTTAGGGCATAAATATATCAGCGCATCAAGTATTTTTCCATTTGTCCTTTTTTAATACGTTCTCACTAAAAAACATTTTCAGGGAGAGATCATCTTTAGGGATGAAATTCTTCTGAACCTAAAAGTCTTGCTCTTAGTAACAGGATGGGTGATGCTCAGTGTCCTCACAGCTCTGTGTCTCCCGTGTCGGCTCTGGGTGCTCTCCTGAGGTGTTTCCTTCTCCGGAGAGTCAGAATGACCATCTCTTCAGTGGACTTGTATTTCATGAACGTGGAAGTGTAACCTGCAGGTCGTTGGCTTGTAGGGGCGTTTGGGAATTGCTCTCCTCTGTCTGGCTGCCTGCTTCCATGAAGTGATTTGCATCTTAATAGCTTTGATACTGCAATCAAAGGTTTTTTGGGGAAGGACAAGAAAGCGGTGGGACGGTATGATAATGTGAACCTCGTTTCTTGGAGGAAACCAAGAAATAGAAAATAGAAATGTTGTCTTCAAAATGTGGCAAGACTTCAGCTCAAGCTTTGCTGCGCACATTGGTGCTTGGCGTCGATCTGAGAAATGAGTATAAATTCATATTTAGCTTTTTCACCCTTTATTCACTGGCAGTTGTTGTGTGTATCACTCAGCAGAGATGCCTGCAATCCCATTGGAAATGGCAGCACTCCCTGGTTTTGTGTTTTATTGGGGAAAACACTATTCTGTACTCTTTTCCAAGTGTGATTCTGTGAGATGTATTTTAAGACACTGTGTTTTATCTTTGAAGTGTGAATCAAATCAAAGCTGGTTGGAGCAATGCCCATGTCCTCTGCTGGCCAAGGAGGGCCAGGCCCAGGGAGGAGCAGCCTTTGGCAGTGCCCTGTGCTGTGCAAACAACCAGCCAGGAGCCCGCTGGGGAATTTTTTGCATGGATTAAAGTGCATTGTACGGTGAAACAGTTAGTGCTGGGGACAAAAAATCCGCCCAACATGTAGAAGAGATTTTGTACAGACTGGCTCTGGCTTCATCCTCTGAAGTGGCTGGGCCTCAGCAGCTGGAATGGCTGCATCATTCTTGAATTTTATAGCTTTATCCTCCAGGAATCCAGTTTTTGTGCTCCCAGACCTCTCTGCAGTTCACACCGGTGTGCTGTAAAGTGGGGACGATGAGGACAGACACTTCAGAAGTGAATGTAAGACCTGAATTGTAGCACTTTTGTAGAGACACCCCTGACATATCAGAATCTCAATGTAAGACCTGAACTCTACCCTTGTAGAGACACCCCTGACATATCAGAATCTCTGTCCTCAACAGAAGAATAATATTAATCATGGATCTCCGATGCAGTAATTATGTAGCCTCTGTAGATTTATATGATTTGTCTCTCCTGTGTATATCCATAAATTTATGTTCCCTGCTCAAGATGCAGTTATAGATAGTTTTATAGACTCCACAGTTCGAGCTTTAGTTGAATTGTATCTCGGCACCGGGCCATTCCTCCCCAAAGTGAATTTGTTCCTAAATGATACTTCCTAAAGGAGAGAAATCTTGTCAGCTATCACAGTTGGAGAGTGGCACAAGTAAAGTCACAGAGATGACTAGAGCTGGCTCTGCTCACCAGTGCTTGGTGCCTAAGTGGGCACCCAGAATTAGTTAGCTATTTTTTAAACTTAGCTGTGGATGATGGATATGGAAAATGAATTTACATAGACCTGCAGCTTTGCATTCTTCTGCTTAATTTTCCAGTTGATTGGGGATTTGGTGTATCGCAGAAGAATTTGTCTTCCTTGGTATCAAAGTCTGGAAGCACAAATAAGCCATTGCAAATTGTCACTTAGAGCAAAATGTTTTATTATTGATGAGATTTGTGAGACTTAAACAGGAAACAGTGCTGAAGCATTCGCTGCTTTACAGAATCTTATGGTCACATAAATTACTGTAAGGAAAGTGTAAAATAACTATGGGGAATTACTCCAAATAACTATAGGTAATAATAATATGAAAAGATAAAAAGGTCAGATACATTTAGGATGCAGGCAGACACGGGAGAGAGGTCTGTGCTCATGAGTTGTAGACCCTTTGGGAGAACGGGAAAACAATTTTTCTTCCTTTCTTTAGTGTCTTCCCATATGCCAGGTCTTTTCAGTAGAAGGTGCTGTTGGCAGATGCTCAACTGGCACTCTGTGCTCTCAGCTTCTTGGTTGCTCCTCTGCTCTGCCTGACCCCATCCACTGACACTGCCAGGGAAGATCAGCTCCCAGATTTTGGTTCTGTTTTATGTTGCCTCCTTGAAACCCCATTTGCAGAGCTGAGCTTCCCATCATCAGTGAGGAACGTGCTGCCTCCATCCAAATGGTGACCGTCCCAATATTTGGCAAGAAGTGTCCTAGTTTTTTTATTGCTGCACAAATGTAGTCGGGTTTTCTGAGGGTAAATGTTGAGAGGTGGATAATTTTGTTGTGTGTTAGCATCAACCTGAAAGGGTTTGCCAGTAACACATCAACTTTAAGCCAGAGCAGGACCAAACAAATTTAACAGTGTCTGTTAAATCTATTTGATTTTTGGATCAGAACTTATTTTTGCAGTTAGCAGAGGAAGCTCTAATTTTGTTCTCATTTTCCCCAGGTAATTGTCTCAGCTGAAGTACCTTTCTCACAAACACATTGCTCTTAACGTTAATTATACTTGCAGATGGCTTTCCTTTACAAGTCCCTCTCTGTGTGCCTATATGTAATGACAGGGGAGTATAAATCCTAATGTTTTCATTAAAAAAATACAACAGAGGTAGATTAAAAGCAGTTAGCATTCACTGATCACTCAGCTTAGGAAGAACTTCATCAGGCAGCTGCAAAGGAGCGGCTGGTTCTTTGGGGCCTGTTTTCTGTAAGGAGGTCCTTTACAAAGCCATCACTGCACTTGTAACAAGCTGCTACCGTGTCAATATTGTCCCCAACACTGCCTGTGTGTGTGTTCCATGTCTACACGTACCCTTGCATAGACACTGACTGTGCCTATAATGGAGAAAAAGCCGCTGCAGTCTACCTGGACAGAATATAATAGATGCCTGGGAATGATGCATAGTATCTGTGTCTTCATTTATCACTTCCTTGACATATGCTCATATAGGCTTTACCAAAAAAAAGCTTCATAATTTCATATATATATGTATTTATGCGTTGCAAGAAAATGCATCATGAAAATACGGTTCTCCTAAGTTCCTAATCTCTTGGAACTGTAATTCCTTACTGAGTCTCTGTTTAATATGAATACGGAGTGCTAAATAGCTCCAGTAGTGCCTAGCTCACTTGGCCATCGATGATTTTTTTTGTAAGGCTCTAATTAATATCTACATATGCCATTTGCCCCATCTCAGCTGGGGTTGTTCAGGATGTGCAACAGAGAGTCTGTAGACAAGAGGGGGTTT